GATCCGCCCTGGATCCTCCGTTGGATGACATAGATTGCCATAAATTGCTTGAGAAGCATCCACATTGCTTAAAACATTTCCTCCATAATGTAATAAATGCTGGTACATTTATTCAGTGATTGTTTTGCATGAGTATAATTTTATTCAACCCGATTTTTTTATCTCACTAAATCTATGGTGTGTTGTAAAGTCCCATTTCATTATGTACCGTAAATAAGTAGTTTTTGATATATTTTCATCCTTGCGTTTATTATCATACGTGTTTATAATTTTAAGAAAAAAATATAATTTTATGTTCAGTGATCCCACGTCCGTGCTTGGAGGTGTTCGGTTGCCGCCTGACACGGAGATTATCAAATATACTTCGTCTCTCGCTGGTCCTAAGGTAAATTATATCTAATTGCACTGTAATTATGACTAAAATAGAACAAATAGATGATTACACTTGTGTTGAATACTAGATGAGTATTTTAGGACCTGTCCCACCACTGGCTGATAGAGGCTCAGATAGCTTAAAAGGGACATCATTGTCAGATAGAATACCAAAATCCGATACTTCTATCACATATTTCATTCCTTGGATTGTTATCTGACAATTTACAAGAATTGTGAGACAGGCCCTTAATGTTTGAATAATTTCAGGTGCCTCCTGGTACGACGAATCGTGGTCGTAAGAAGACGATATCGCTGGACCCGCCGCAAGTGTCGGTGCATCCCTCCGCCGGCGACCGCTCCACGCCGCTGCCCAGCAAACGGCCCAAAGTTGTAAGTTTTGCTTTTCACTCATCTTACTAACATTATAAATGCGAATGTTTAGATGGTTGGATAGATGTTTGTTAGTGATTGTAGCCTAAACGGCTGTAGGAATCTCGATGAAATTTGGCAGAAATATAGAGGATAGAGTAGAACACATAAGCTACTCACTTTTGTTTTTTCTAATTACAAGCGGACGGAGTCGCGGGCGAAACCTAGTTTCCTATAAAATGTGACGTAGGCTGTGGAATCC